GGATTTGTAAGTGCTGCTTAATTAATTAAAAACCATTCATTTATTTGAGTTATAAATGTATCTAAGAGAGGGGACATTTGTTTTATAATACTCTTCTACTGATCTTATATTAATGTTTTAACAATGAGCTTGCTTGCTGCAAGTCGAGAGGGACAAATTTTAAACACGTATAGCTCTGCTTTTGACTCAACAATAACATATAAAATATGTTCTTCATCAACATTAGCTCTAATTTCCTTGAGTTCTAATAAAATGCTCTCCGCTATTCTCATCATCTTAATCAAGTCATTGTCATGTTTTTGAAAAGTATTACATAAAATAGTTGTATAATTAAATAATACATTCTTAGAGAGAAAAAAAATTTGGAATAAGTATTGAATCCAATAATTTTCTTGCTTCTGAGGAAATATTTTTTTCAAGCCATTGTGATATTTCAGTAATAGCATTAATAATTGGTTCTTCTAACTCCATAAAAGCTGTTATGCTTGATGGCGGAGACTCGATCTCGTTGGACAAGCTTGCAATTTCTTTCTTCGTGTTTGACAAGGAGTTTCAGAGATAATTATTATTTGACTAGAAATTTAGATAAATAATACGCCACTAAAATTTAAAAAAAATAGGTAAATTACGCCTAGTAGATAAATATGATAAATAAATGTTATTAAATATATATATGAGATAGGAATAAATATTAACAAATATAAATGAATATAAACATAATATTTTTGAAAAAAATAATCCGGCATCTGCATTTTTTGGCTTGGGGGGGGGGGGGGGGGGGGGGGGGGGGTTGACCTCCCCCCCCCCCGCTGCGTACGCGCCTGTATATTATCATTAAAATAAATGCATAGTTAAATATGTTATTTATACTAAAGTATTAATAATAAAAAATCTATAATGAAATTCTCTGCAAAATTTTGTTATATGAAAAAATTTAATTAAAATAATTATTTTTAACATAGAATAAGATATATTAAGTGATCATAAAAAATGATGGTTTCGGGAGAGATTTTATTCTTCTTTCTACACCGAATGGATTGAATTAATTTACAATTAATTGATTTTGATAAAATTTTCAGAATAATGCTTTAAGTCGCGTATTAATCATAAATTTGACCAAAATTTTGTTACTAATATTTTTTTCATTTATGCTGGCTACTATAGAGGAAGACACTAATAAAACACAAAATATTGGCAAATTTTTAAAATGGTTTGCAAAAATTTTCAACCCCCTCCTCCCATGGATAAATCCAGGCTACGCCACTGATCTTGTCAAAAATATCGTGTCGATATCAATATACTAATTTATCTGAATTCACTAATCTGGTCTCGTCTAATGACATTAATACTAATTTAAACTGACGATTTATTTATTAAAATTGGTGTTAGTAACTAATTACCTTTGTTGAGGAATTATAACTATAACTATTTTAAAAATGCAACTTTCTCCTGTAGTTATAGTGTTAGCAATGATCAGGTCGGACTCACGGCCCTGTCAGGTCCAAGGCGGTCTTATCAGACTCTTGGATTCCACGGGACAGTCCGGTCCGACAACACGGTCCGATGGTCCGGTCCGATATAAGACCGATTAAAGAAGATAAGTTTGCTATACTATGAATTGCTTTTTAGTTAATGTGCATGTACATGAACACATAAAACATGATTATTTAATGCCTAACACTTTATAATATCTCATTCATCTTTTACTTTTTATATTCTTGCGTTTTATTCGTCGTCAATTTAATTTAGTAGGGTAGGTGGTATATTATTTTTAGAAATGGAAATGGAAATGGAAATTGTTATCATAGAAGTTGATAAAACTATTGAACCACCACACTCTTTCTTCAAGGGTTGAAAGAATGACTATTGATGTAAATGAAAAAAATCCATCAAATTCTTTACATAATGTTAAAGAAATATAGAAATATTTTGAAAAAGAAAATGCTGAGAAAACATGTAATATATGTCTAGAAATATTTTCCAATTCTTCAAGCACAAGTAAATTATGCATATATATGGAGCTCAAAATTTTAAATATATGAATAAAACCTTAATCAAATAAACATACTATAGTAATGATTAGGGCTGGGAACCAATATTAAAAACCCAAGTTAACGAATTATTGTATTGGTACTAGGTCTAAAATATTACTATTGGTTTAAATTATATTTTCTATTACTTGTATTGATATTGGTTTAAATTAAAGAAAGAATAGAAATAAGAGAATAGCCAGGGATAGGCTTATGGGAACTGGGACATCAGCAGAGAAAGCTGAGAAAGATGATATACATGAAATCCAATGCTATTTATCTGATATTTTATATCCGATAAATTCAAATATGCTAGATTTGTGGGAAGGAACCATCTAATTCTAGTCAAAATAGCAATGGATTATCTCCCACAGCAAGCTACATCTGTAGCATGTAAACGGATCTTTTCTAAAGCTAATAATAAAATAACAAAAAAATGACAAATGACACTTGATTCATGGAAAAAAATAGAAAATTTTTTGATTTTTTAGAAGATAAATATAATTTATTTTATAACAAATATTTATCACATATATAAAATAAAAACTAGTTAAATATGTAAATCAAATTGATTTAAATTATATTTAATAAATTTGTATTTTAATATTCTTTTGAACTTTAGGCATTTGTATTGCATAATATAATAAAAAGGATTTTATGATATAATTAAAATATTGGTAATTTAACACTTTTCATTTTTAATAAATTTAATGCAGAATAAAACTTTTCTAGCTTAATAAAAATTTTTTAAATAGGACCGGACCGACCGGACTGGACTGCACCGATGGTCCCACGGTTCGGTCTCACTTGACTTAACGGTCCATCGGTTCGATCTCATTTTAGAAAAAAAGGACCGTTGCAAACACTATGTAGTTAGTTACATATTTGGGAGTGTAACTATAAAAGTAACTAATTACATTTGATTTTTTTTATTCCATTATGTATATATTATGAAAAGAGATAATTTATTTATATAAAGTGTAGGAGACCAGGGTTATATTGTCCATAAAATATTAAAGTGCTATAAAAAAAATAGATGAAGCAAATATTTCAAAATGTTTAAAAGTAGTTTAATTTTTACATATATTTCTACTGTAGAAATTGATATTTAAGAAAAAAATATTTTAGTTTTTTATTATATAGAATTTTAAAAAATGAAAATTTAAGAATTATGAATCCTTTCGCGTTGCGTTGATAGCACTTCTTTAGTTATAGATTTAAAAATTTTTTTTTATATAATATTGTTAATTTAGTAAATATAGAAAAATAAATTGTCAAATATGTTTTTATCAGGTTAGTTTATATTATATATATCACCCGGAAGAACCTGACACTTAAAACTGTCATATTATCTCAAAAAAAGTGAATTATTTTCATATCGTCATTGGTGGCCCTAGACAAATTAGTGGCTTCTATTGTTCGTATAAATTTAGTTGGATTTTTTTCATTTAAAATAATACCAGCTTAAAATGACTAATAGATACCCCGCTAAAACTTGACCCAGGTTTCCCATTAATTAAAATCTAATACCATAGATATTGTCAATATTTTTATACATTATAAAATTGAATTTATTTTATCATTTAGAATTAGTATTTAGCATGAGTTACATTTATAAAAAAATTTATTAGTAAAAATATAAAAAATTAAAAAGTTACTTTTGACGTGTTAAAATTAAAATTTAAAATTTTTAATGAGCAATTTTGTATGAAATAGGCCTACTTAAGCACCTTATTAAAATACATATCTAACTTGAATTTCAATTCTCAAAATTTATTAGTTTTTAAACTATTTAATAAGAAATTAACTACCCCAGGATAACACTATCCCCGGTCTCTCCTACTAATTTTTATAATAGTTTAAAATAAATAATGTCGGTAATTCTTTAGGGTAAGTGCTTGATTTTTAACCGTTTAAGCCAATTTTTATCTTGCTAAAAAGGGATAAAACTTTGTTAGTCAAAACTATTACCCCAGCCTCGGTGTATTTTTTGAAAATAAAGTTCAGCATTAAAAAGTAGAAATAAATTATCATGCGCCTCAATGCTTAGTGATTTTCTTCGGCACCTGTCTGTAGAATGAGAATTAGCTGGCATTTAGTGATTGCCCAACTGTAGTGAATAGATTCTGTATATTGTAAATAAATCTTTTTTAAAATGAAATATAATATATCATTATAATAAAAATACAATACTTTATACAAACTATATATATTAACATTTGTTGTTCTAATTTGATAAATAATAGATATATCCCGTAAACTCTATTTCTACATTTTTCACCTTTATTAATTTTACCTTTTAAAAAAATTAATTATTTGCTATTACATTTTGACAACAAGTCCGCCATTAAAAGGCATCTAGACGAAAATGGCATTCGATGCCGTCTACTATTGACTAAACTTTTCAATAGAATTACGTTAATGGGGAATGGAAGGGGGGTACAGAGGCTCGAGCCCCTTGAAAAAGTTTAAAAAACACATAAGGTATCTTGAAAATGTTAGTTTAAAAACGAGGTCATTTTGAAAATGAAAATAAAATTAAGATTAAAAAATAATATTTCTGATCCCCCTGACATTGTAAAGGCTAGTAGAGCCACTGCTTTCATGTATGTGCATTTATAATCATAAGTCTGGGTTGGTATTTATGTCATTGGTCTCGCCTGAGTAATAGGAATGATAACAGAGATTTCTAACTTTTTCCATAAACCTAAATAAATATTAGAATTTTGATTGACCTCTTCCCCCTATATATGTAATCCAAAATGTCTAAATGAAAAATAAAAATATATGAGTGATCCATTCAATACCCAAGAGTACATATATAGTATTCATTTCAATTTATATAATTATTTATTTCGAAAAAATATTTTTTATTAAAAAAACATTATTATTTTTAGTTTAAAAACACTAACATATTTTTTTATTTCAAAATTAATCTACAAATTCAATTCCCATGTGCAATTTATCTAGTTCGAATACAAGGCTAATTCAGTCAAAAAGAGGCCTATCAAATTGACAATCTCCGCGAACGGCATTAAAGTTACGTTCAAAATGCCGAAAAAAGTATATTTATGTTTATTTTTTTGAATGAAATGATTGATAAATATTTTTAAAACTTTTAACTTACTGTGATCTAATGTTAGGAGTTTTTTTTTAGATCATGGCTTTGTTTCTTTTTAAGAACGATTATCTATCGATTTTATAAAATATAATACAACTCGATTTTATTTTATAATAAATCCAAAAAGAATGTCAAAGATATTAAAAACATAATTGACGATGTAATATCTAGGAACACTGAAATATTATTTTAGAATTTAAATAAATTATAACAATCTCATTATTTTTCCTATCATAAAGGGTGATCGGTGGCTATGTGATGAAGCTATAAAAATTATTAAATCAACTTTCTCACCACTTTGTGAAATAAAAATAGAGAAAGGGGAGAAAAAGGTAAAGGAAAAAGAAAGAATAAGGGGAAAAGGTTAAACTCTTCCCGGACCGATCTGAGTCCAAGAGGACAACTATTTTCATGAACTCGTTCAGATTAGGTCTTTGATCTAAAATGACTTGACTTGAACCTCAACCAAAATTTATAACTTTTTTCCTAATATTTTTAAAAATATTATATTAGAGAATAGCCAAAATTTATTAATTATTCTTTCAGCGCTTATAAATTTTCTTAATTTCATTGATTATACTTTTTCAATAAAAAAATATCAATCGAACTTATATCTAAGCTATTGACCTAAATATATTTTAAAAAATCTCAAAATTTCAAAACTTTTGTAAATATATAAAATTATGAAACATCATTAAAAATATTTACAAGTTTTGTAAATTTTGAAATTTATAATTCCTACCAAACCATTTTTATACATCCCATTGAATTTATATACTTACCTTTTGATTAATATAACTGCCCATTTCTTATTATAATTTTAAAAATATAAATATATCGTTTACCTTTTTTTCATAAAAATTTCGCTAAGCTAAAATTTATTAAATTTTATCAATTTCTCTAACTTTAAAAAATTATCGTATAAATGAATTAGACTACTATTTAAAAATACTCTTTTTAGTTAAAGTTAAGAAAGTTTATTAATTATATTTTTGATATAAAATCAATTTCAGATCAGATTGGGTTCGAATCTATAAAAAAAATTATCGGGTCTTGGGCGAAAAAAATTTTCAGATGATGTCGAATCTGGTAAAATAGATAATCACTCAATTCAAGGAATGTTTAACTGAAGGAATATTTTTAATTTGATGAAATATGATTAAAATTAAACAGGTATCTAGTAGGATGATTAAAGATATGGATTAGGTTATTTAAAGGTTTTAGATATATTGGTAAAAGTTTAGACTAGTTTTTAATAAAATCCAATTCTCTTTATTAATAACCTGACAGGCCACGTGATTATAAATAGACGAATAAAGTTAAATAAATCAGCTGTTGCAACGTCTATTTTTTTGAAAGGCCATAATCTAAAAAATAGGTCCGATAAAAGGTTGCTAGAGAAGGGAATTAAAAAAAGAAAAACAAGAAAGAATATGTAATTTTAAATTACAAAATGTAAATTTTTTTTTAAATCACTTTTCGAATATTATATTAAGACTATTTCATAAATTTTCATAACATTTATTTGACCAAAATAATAACTTTTTTTTTATTTTGATAAATTCTATTTTCAGTTTTTAATAATAAAATATAAATCAATAATATATTCCATCATCTAACTATTAACTCTTCTTCTCATCCTCTAAATAAAAACTCATTCATTACTTATAAAATAATAATGAATAAAAAATAAAAATTTTCCATACAAATGAATGATGATAGCAATGGAAATGGAAATAAAAATTTTATAAATAAATAATATATCTTTTTAGAATCCATAATCCCAAACATATTAATATGAAAAATATTTTAAAAAACAGCCAATCTTATTTAGGCAGACAGAATATATTATAACTATAAATTAATAATTTTTTTACGAAAAAGAGTCATATTTGCATACATATTAAAATATATATTTGTATATTTGACAACAAATCAACACTAGTTTCGACCGAACTGTGCAGGATTTTTTTTTAAGCTCTGAATAGTGATAGTGAAGATCTGCACAGCCCATCCGAAAGTCCGAAGGACATTTGTAGTACAATATTTTTTAATGCGCCAGGATCAAAAAAAAAATTTACAAGAAAATTTAATTTTTTTTATAAATTAAGTCTAAAGAAAATTATGTCATAAATGTAAATCAAAATAATATTTTTTTTGAGATTTTATGTGGGCCGGGTGGGCAATTCGTATAAAAATTATTAAAAGCAGAGCAAGGTGCGAAATTTGTATAAAAATCTCAACATGCTGGGCTGGTCCATGCTGATCCCTAATAGATAGTAACCCTCCTGGTAACCAATATATAAAATTTTAGTATTTGACTCTACCAATGAAATGAGATGTGGGAGCTCAAGTTGCAAAGAAAATTCAAATTTTGTATATAAAATTGCAAATTACTCTGACTTTTATAGAAGATCGGGGTTATATAAGCCATGTTTTTTACATTTTAAATACTGATACATCAAATCTATTATATTAATACTAGCCTAGATTGACGATTCATTCATTAAAATACATTTAAATGTTTACATACAATAGAGTTCTTATTTAATGGCATGTTATGAAAGGTATTTCGACAAAATATATTTCAATGGTATCTACTAGCCAATAACATTGACTACAGTTGACTTCAATGTATGTATACTATAATAAATAAATAGTCAATCTAGATTAGTAAATGACATAGCTACAAATACTTTTTTTAATGACCCGTTCTTATTTTATAACATTGATCTTGCTTGTTTGTTCATGGCTTTTTTTTATTATATACCTTTTATAATTATATAGAGCTTTTATTTTAAGTATCAATTTTATTTATGAAAATAATTGCATTCTATCTATATAAATTATTAATTTAATAGGAAAAAAAACCCCCGGAAAAAACCCCTTGGCAAAAAAACCCTCGGGAAAAACCCCATGGAAAAAAATTCAAAAAAAGGAAAATCGTTATTTTTTAAAAAAATTTTCTTGTCAATTTTTCTTAAATTTTTTTCTCAATTTATATTTTTCTTCCCATTTTTGCTTTAAGTCATTGTTCTTTATTTTTATTATCTTTTCTCAATTTTTTTCTTCTCAATTTTCACTTAATTTTTTTTAGTATAACCTAGCAATAATTAGATAAATAATTTTATAAGCGAATGCCACAATCATTAAGAGCTATTAAACTCAAAAAAACACAAAATACTTACGAAAAAAATATTCGAACTAATAATGTCTAAATGTCAAGAACGGGATTTATTTCCTGATCCATTATATATATACATGAATTTCGAAAAGTCTGCTATGAGCGCGGTTAAAACTGTCATTGGTATGATTATTAATATGTTAAATTATTTATATTTATTTTTACAATTAGGGGATCACATCCTAATCAGAGAATGCTTTTACCATTTGTGTCAAAGTACCCATAGAAAAATTCAAAAGCTAGGTCTGGAAAGCCAATACAGAACCGATGATAAGCTTCTTTTGTGGCATGATGGACGGCTTAGCATTTGTTCCTTTATGTGATATGGGCAATGCAATGGCATTCCTTAGATCGGTTACTCCGAGTAATGGTAAAGATATTCTTAAATATTTCAATAAAAATTACATCAATGGAGTATCAAGGGAGGTCACAAGAAGCAATTCTCAATCCCAGACACGTCGAATTGGGCCTCGATTTTCTCCAGAAACTTGGAACGTGAATGAGAGCACTCTATCCGAGGAAGAAGGCACGTTTAATCAATGCGAAGGTTGGAATCATCGTTTTTTTAATCTGGTTGGGAATAAACACCCATCAATCTGGGTATTGATTAAAAAAATGAAATGCGAGGTGGCTGCCGATAAAACCAAACTTGAACGATGGCGTGTAGGTAGTTGGACACCGAAAACAAAATCGCAGAGTTACAATATCCAGATTCGGCTAAAGAAACTTTGCGAGGAATACCGTGATGGGGTGCGAAGCCATCCAGATTTTATGAGAGCGATTTCCTTCAATATTCTATGTCAACCCTTATAATTATTATTCTAAATTATTAAATTTGTATATACATAATAATGATTTATCAATAAAATAAACAGATCTTATTGCAAATTTTGTCAAATTTAGTCTACTTGATATTGTATTTATTACTATAGCAAATAATTTTTACGAAAATAAGTAATACATGGGTTATTTTACTGGGATATTTTCTTCCCCAGTACCAATTTGAACATAGCATTTTTCCTTGTTTAAGCATTTTTTATGGAGGGTATATGAGTTATCTTTAAGTAATTAATTGGGGGCTAAAACAATTTATTATTAAATTATATTTTTATAATATTTTTCTAAAATACTAATTTGTCTATACCTTATTAAATCCAAATAAAAATATACCGATATTATTAGGTCTTAAGTAAATTCGAAAAAAAAATTTCGGGGTTTTTTTTCCTGGGGGTTTATTTTCCGGGAGTTTTTTTCCTGGGGGTTTATTTTCCAGGGGTTTTTTTCCGGGAATTTTTTTCGGGGGGTTTTTTCCGGGATTCACATTAAATGAATGTCAACAAAAAATAAGGAGAAATAAAACAAGATAATTAAATCGGTACTTAGCGCGCTACATTTTTTTAGCGCGTTCCTTTTTTTGACTACTTAGCTAATTTTTAAAAATATAATGAATGTAACTAAAAACAGGAAAATTTAAATATAATACCATAATTAATTATAATTTTTATCATTTATTATTTTTTTTTCATGAAATTTATATTTTAATTTGTATTATAAACCTAAATTATCTGATATAAATTAATTAGATATCGCAAATGGATATCCAATTCGATGTAAGTTAGTCAGACAATGATGATATTAATGAAATGGAAGGTACCCTGGAAGAAAATGTTCTTGATAACAATAATACACATTTCCCATTTTCAAAATTTGAAAAATATTTTATAGCATATATTTAAAATAGTTATTAGTTTTTACGAA